GGTCCAAGCACAAGCTGAACTGCTAAAAAATAAACTATCCAGGGGGCTTTGCTGCAAAGGCAAGCAAGCTTCCTTTAATAGGGAAAGAATTACATTAAAGCGCAGCAAAGCCTGCATTTAGTCTGTTAAGGACACATCATAAGTGAAGAGATGAGAGCCCCCAGTCTAATGGGTAATTCCACCACAGCCCAGAATTCTCAGGAGGCAACTAAGTTACCCCAGGCCCTCCTTTACCTTGTTTTGTGTCACAATTAGGAACTCAGGCTTTGGCATGAGGTAGGCCTAGATTAGCCCCCCTGCTCTGTGGTTTAGTTGTAACTATAAAGCCTTGAGCTAGTTACTTTACTTAAACCGTAAGCTTTAATTTCTTCAAAAGTAAACTGGCCCAGTTAACATTACTGGAAATAGTAATGGTAACTACCTCAGGATTGATAAATGAAAGCTTAGAATTCTTAAGGTACTGCCTAGGGCATTAAAAATGTTCAGGCTGGGCGCAGTGGCTCACGCCTGTAATCCCAGCACTTTGGGAGGCCAAGGCGGGCGGATTACAAGGTCAGGAGATCGAGACCATCCTGGCTAACTCGTTGAAACCCCGTCTCTACTAAAAATACAAAAAATTAGCCGGGCATGGTGGCGGGCGCCTGTAGTCCCAGCTACTTGGAGGCTGAGGCAGGAGAATGGGGTGAACCCGGGAGGCGGAGCTTGCAGTGAGCAGAGATTGCGCCACTGCACTTTAGCCTGGGTGACAGAGCGAGACTCTGTCTAAAAAAAAAAAATTAAATAAATAAAAATGTTCAAGTATCAGCTATTTATTTCATTCCTATTCATTTTCTCCTTGCATCCCCCCAAAACTGATCACAACTGGAAGCTAAACCTGGAGGAATCTGGATCTATTCCCAGTCTTTAAGCAATTTATCAAGTTGGTATCTAAGACTTTATATGACAGCGGTCATCATAGTGGTCAAAGCTACAATCCCATTTTGTTCCATCAGACTAATAATATATGTCTAGCTAACTGTGAGCCAGATTACTTATAAGATGCAGCCTACACTGATCATGAACATGCAAGTGAGAAGATAATCCCATATAGAATACAGAGGCTGAGTTCTGATCTGCTTTTACTATAAGCAACACCTTGCATGAGTTAGCCTCTTGGGTGCTATTTGGTAGTCTACAATCTTTGCTTCTCTACTGCTTATAGTAGGCTATTGACTTATTACTGGTAACAATTTAACAAATAGAAATAAATTACCTTGTTATAGGCAACATGCTAGAAACTTACAATTTCAAATGAAGTTGTGGGATAAAACCAACCATTTTAAAGGCTACTAATCCATAAAGGTGTATATAAACGTAAGTTCATCTGTTTTGTCAACTACACAATAGACATAACCTACCTTATAGGGTTGCTGAGACAAAATGAGAACTTACTTCATCCAAAGGACCTGAAATTTTCACCTGTTTAGCTCTAAGGGGTCAAATAAAACGGACAAATAAAACTGCCTGAGCTTCCAACTGCTTTGGTAAACACAACATTACTTACCCTCTTAGCATGTAAGCCCTCTTAGCATTTCAGTCAGGATAAAACAATGTAGACATACTGAAGGAAGGCTGTTATTCAAACTAATAACACATCAAATTCACATGTGTCTTTGGATTTTTAAATTCCAAGAGCCCCAATCACTCATATTCCAAGTAGAATCTAAACCACAATCTCTTGGGCCTTATCTAAATTTTATCTACAGCTGTGCTGTCCAATATGGTAGCCACTAGCCACATGTGGCTAGTTTATATTTAAATTAAGTAAAATAAGTTATCCGGTCTCACTTGCCGCATATCAAGGGGGCTCAAAAGCCTCATATGGGCCAGATGCAGTGGCTCACGCTTGTAATCCCAGCACTTTGGGAGGCTGAGGCAGGTGGATCACTAGAGGCCAGGAATTGACACAAACCTGGTCAACATGGCAAAATTCCGTCTCTGCTAAACACAAAAAAATTGGCTGAGTGTGGTGGCCCACGCCTGTAATTCCAGCTATCGGGAGGTGAGGGTGGAATCACTTGAGCCTGGGAGGCAGAAGTTGCAGTAAGCTGAAATCGCGTCACTGCACTCCTGCCTGAGTGACAGAGCAAGACTCTTGTCTCTCATGCACACATGTACACATACACATACACACACACACACACACACAAACAAAAACAAAAACAAAACCTCATATGGCTAACAGCTACCATACTGGACAGCACAAATATAGGACATTTCCATCATGACAAAAAGTTCTATTGGATGAAATGATCCAGGACAATACTTTGCTTCCTAGCACTCTCTACTGTACCTGTTGGAGCCCAGTCAAGGACCTTTTCCCTACATGGCACTGTACTATTCTGTGTGGTTCCCAGGCCTGGCTAAGCTGGCTGTCTCAAAGTAGCCTGCTACTGCACAGAACCTCTGGAGAAGCAGGCCCTCAATGAGCACCTGCCCAGAAAACATTTCAACTGAAGTTATTAGTCTGCCAAAGTGTAAGACAAAACAGAGATAGAGCAATTATTTTAAGCTTCAGGAGCAGGGCAAACAAATTCCATTTTTACCAACTACCTTTGTTCTCTTAATAGAAGACAACGCTGGAATTTTTTTTACTCATCTCTGAAAGTAATTAACTAGTACAAGACCCTTAAGATGGGCAATTGTGTTTCTTTTTTTCTTCTTTTTTTTTTTTTGAGATGGAGTTTTGCTCTTGTTGCCCTGCTGGAGTGCAAAGGCATGATCTTGGCTCACTGCAACCTCTACCTCCTGGGTTGAAGCGATTCTCCTGCCTCAGCCTCCTGAGTAGCTGGGATTACACGGATGCGCCACCACACCCGGTTAATTTTGTATTTTTAGTAGAGATGGGGTTTCTCCATGTTGGTTAGGCTGGTCTCGAACTCCCGACCTCAGGTGATCCGCCTGTCTTGGCCTCCCAAAGTCCTGGGATTACAAGTGTGAGCCACCGCACCCGGCTGGGCACTTGTATTTCATATGCTGCTCTAAGTCACATTTTCACAAGGACATCCCTGCACTACAAATGCATCTCCTTTCCCAAGAGGCAGAACTTAAAAGGGAAAAAGGACTTGTCTAACCTGAAAATGTATCTTCTCAGGCCAGCTCAATTAGGGCAGGCCCTTCCTGTAGGCTTGTCCTCCTTTGCTTCCATTAAGGAATCCTTGATGCCCGGGAAGAGTGAGAGCGACTACAAACCTCTGGCCTACATGGGGATCCACAGCTCAGCCTAAACTGCGTTTGTTTCCAAGGGTCAGGGGCCTCCAAACACACTAAGTCCACACCTTGTCTGGCCATAAAGATTTTAAGTATGCTGATACATTGTTTCATGTATCCTGTTACTAATTCAACCAAGGTACCTTCTTTGTCCAGACAATTCTCACTGACGGGGCTTGAAATGCGCAGGCCATTCTCTGGGCGACTAGCTGTAGAAAGAGTAAGACTGAACACACCTCTCCTACTGAGGTGGTATATATTCTTCAGAAATACAAGAAGCTTTTCTGGTGTTAATCATATAACTGCTCCTTAAATTTTTTTATACTCCAGAAGATCCTCCCCCGATTATGAATTACTCCAACTTCACAACTATAAGCACGCACAAGTAATAACCCCATCCATGATTCCTTGTGAAAGAAGAAGGAATACTGCTTAAGAGGTTGAATTACTACAAAACTAGTATCTTGCTCTATTCTATTGGTTCTGAAACTTCAGTCCACGTCTGATCACCTGGTAGACACTCAGTAAAACCTGAATGGCTAAGCCTCTACTCCCAGAGTTTAAGAGTCAGTAGGTGTGGGTGAGGCCCAAGAATCTGCATGTCCAACAAGTTTTCAAACAATGCAGTGCTGCTGACCAGGAAACCACACATTGAGAACCACAGCTGACACCTGAACAATACGTGTTTGAAATGCTTGAGTCCACTTACATGAGGGTTTTCTTTCTCCTCTGCTATCCCTGCGACAGCAAAGCCAAACTCTCCTCTTCCCCCTCAGCCTACTCAACAAGACAATGAGGATGAAGGCTTTTATGATGATCCACTTTCACTTAATAAAGAGTAAACATATTTTCCTTATGATTTTCTTAATATTTCCTTTTCTCTAGCTTACTTTATTGTGAGATTATAGTATATAAAACATATACAAAATATGTGTTAATTGACTGTTTCTGTTATCAGTAAGGCTTCTGGTCAACAGTAGGCTATTAAGTTTTTGAGGAGTCAAAAGTTATAACTCGAATTTCTGACTGCACAGGAGTCAGCGCCCCTAACCCTCGTGTTGTTCAAGGGTCAACGATACTGCTCTATTCAAATGCTTCCATTTCAATCAGTACCATCAGGAGCTGAAGTCCCCAACTAATTTAATCTAAAGGTAGTGAGCTCCTCAGATTGGATTTTCAGTATTCCACTAAACTATGCTGTACCCCACTTACTTTCTAAAGTCCTGATTTAACCATCCTAGTATTAGTATGAAACAAACCCTGCTCTTTGTGCTCTGCTTGTCACCCAATCCGAAAAAGTAACATCAGAATTAAATGGTTTGTTAAATACTGAAGTAGTAGAAAGGATTAGGATTCTGACACACAGTAAAACAGCTGCAAAGGCAGTTAACTATATCTGCTATTTGGTAAGTGCTCACTGAAAGGTAGAAACTATTTAACTTAGAGCGAAGTATCAAGCTTTTATAAACATATATTAAAAAACACTGTTCGGGTCCTTTAAAAATATCCTGTAAGCTTGGCTGGGTGCGGTGGCTCACTCCTGTAAGCCAAGCACTTTGAGAGGCCGAGGCGGTCGGATCACTTGAGGCCAGAAGTCTGGGACCAGCCTGGCCAACATGGCAAAACTCCGTCTCCACTAAAAATACAAAAATTAGCCGGGTGTGGTGGTGTGTGCCTGTAATCCCAGGTACTCAGGAGGATGAAGCAGGAGAATCACTTGAACCCAGAAGGCAGAGGTTGCAAGTCCAGACTGAGCCACTGCACCCCAGCCTGGGCGACAACGCGAGACTCTGTCTCCAACTAATAATAAACATCATCATCATCCTATAAGCATTATACCTTAACCAATGGAGTACTGTAATTGAATGAAGCAAATACACATCCTTAGCCAAATAAGATAGTAAAGTTCAGATAGATAGATCAACTTCTCCAAAGGAGGTCATGGGTCACCTGCATTAGTCAGAATCATTTGGGATTGTTGAAGATATATTAAAAATGCAGATTTTCAGTACCCTCCACTACAAGGTGTACGAGTAGGAATACGTATTTTCATCAACCATCCCCAGGTGACTTTTAGGCACATTAGCTTGAGAACAACAATGAGCCAGGCGTAGTGGCTCACGCCTGTAATCCCAGCACTTTGGGAGACCGAGGCGGGCGGATCACGAGGTCAGGAGATCGAGACCATCCTGGCTAACATGGTGAAACCCCATCTCTACTAAAAATACAAAAAATTAGCCGGGTGTGGTGGTGCGCGCCTGTAGTCCCAGCTACTCGGAGGCTGAGGCAGGAGAATGACATGAACCCAGGAGGTGGAGCTTGCAGTGAGCTGAGATCGCGCCACTGCACTCCAGCCTGGGCGACAAAGCGAGACTCTGTCTCAAAAAAAAAAGAGAATAACAATGAAAACTTACTGTTAAGCTCTCAAAGTTTCTCACTTGATCTTCAACCAGCTGGCAAGCTAGGGGAGAAAGGAGTTTGCACTTCACAACTGAAATGTTTGTTGAAAGCATCTATATTGACCATACAGAATGAAACGGTGCTCTTACTTTTTTTTTTTTTGAGACAGGGTCTTGTTATGGGGCACAGTGGGGCAAACAGAGTTCACTGCAGCCTCGACCTCCTGGGCTCAACCGATTCTCCTTCCTCATTCTCCCAAGTAGCTGGGACTGTAGGCGCACACCACCGTGCTTGGCTAATTTTTGTATTTTTTTGTAGAGACAGGGTCCCACCATGTTGTCCAGGCTGCTTTAGAACTCCCAGGCTAAAGCAATCCACACACTTTGGCATCCCAAAGTGCTGGCCACTTCTTAATAAGGAAAACACATAAATACAGACTACTACAGAATGAAATATTAAAAGAGGATAACAAAAGCTCAATGAAAGCCAGAGAAAAGTGGTTACACTTCTGGCTTGGGGTTAGGTGGTAATTGCAGGCAGACTTCCCTAGAAAGGAAATGGAGTATCTGTGACTATGCCATCAATACTGAAACAGGCTCTGAGATGTTTAGAACTCTCAAGGAGTTCACAATACTTAGTGCCTTCCTAAAAATATGTAGTAAAATGGAGAAGTATTGGGTATACCTAGCTAAACCTTATCAAATTCTAAAGACTAAGAGGCATTCATTCATTCCAGGGTATTATAAGAAATACTACTTAAACAGAACCTAACATGGTGTTTTTTTTTTTTTTTTTTTTTGAGACGATGCCTCGCTCTGTCTCCCAGGCTGGAGTGCAGTGGCGCCATCTCCGCTCACTGCAACCTCTGCCTCCCAGGTTCAGGTGACTCTCCTGCTTCAGCCTCCTGAGTAGCTAGGACTACAGGCATGCACCACTACACCCAGCTAATTTTTTGTATTTTTAGTAGAGATGAGTTTTTTTTAAAAAATCAATTTTCTTAGGGACTTCTCAGTGTTGTGTGCCTGGCCTGGAAATCAAGTGTAACAAGCCAGTAGTTATAAAGATTAGCCAATTTGTGTCCTTCTCCTCCCTTTCCTTTCCTCTCCTGGTTAAATGGAAACACTAAAAATTAAGAAATAGATCCTGAGCCACAATCAATTCCTAAGAAGCTCTTGTTTCTTCATTTCTGGTATTAAACAGTAAGAACTACTAACACTGCATCCATTCCTGAAAAAATGCACTGACAGTACGATTAAGGCACAGTAAGTCTAACATTTTGTCCCGATCACTTTTCTAGTATTCAAACCACTGTAAGTAACACCACTATGTACTCTGCACCTTTCTCTGAAGAGCTTTAACAGCTTTTATGTATTACCCATATCAAGACACTTCATGGATTAGGAAGGGTCAATAATATTTAAATAGTTTCATAAAATTAGTTGCCCAGGATTAAAATTTATTCTCTAAGATTTTAGTTCTTCAAATATGTGAAGATGGTGATTTTAAATTCAAGGATTTAAATTATTTCAAATACTTGAATTAGCTATTGTCACATGATTTCTCACATAGAATGTGAACATCTCTAGCCATTCTGACAACCTACCTGCTCAGGAAACGTGAAAACTATTTTTTTTTTTTGAGACGAGTCTCGCTCTGTTGCACAGGCTGGAATGCAGTGGCACAATCTCAGCTGACTGCAAGCTCCGCCTCCCAGGTTCAAGCCATTCTCCTGCCTCAACCTCCCAAGTTGCTGGGACTACAGGTGCCCGCCACCACGCCCGGCTAATTTTTTGTATTTTTAGTAGAGACGGGGTTTCACCATGTTAGCCAGGATGGTCCCAATCTCACGACCTTGAGATCCGCCCACCTCGGCTTCCCAAAATGCTGGGATCACGGGCGTGAGCCACCACCGCGCCCAGCCAAAAACTATTTTTCTAAAATTCATGCAACAAGGGTGTCTGATACAAAAAGATAATAGGAAATAAATACACAGAACTTAAATCTTTCTGTCTATTTCAGGCAAAAAGGTTTAATGGGTATATAAGTATACTAAAAAAAAAAATTTTTTTTTTGGTAACATTTTTAAGGAATAAGAGTTTGGAAATCTTTGGAAATCCAAGGTCCTAGGTCTCCAATTTCTTTAAGAGGGGAAAAAACTCACGATTAGGACTAAATGGAGATGTCACTCTCTTACACTGATAGTGAAATATTAACTGCCAGAAAGTACCTCCAGTCCCCATTCATGTTGTATGACAGGAGCCTTTGTACTGAGGCCTAATGAAAAATCTCAACAGAGGAAGTGACTATATATACCTAACAACTTACTAATTTCAAAGTTCATCCTGATAGGCATGTAGGTTTGTCTTGTTCATCTGTGTCTAGTTACAGATACTCACTTTCTGAACGTTTGTACGAATGAATATGGCAACTTAAACTTTTCCATTTACAATTAAACGTGAAAATTTTAGTGTCCTAAGTAGACTGCCAAATATTGCACCATCCCAAGTGTGAAAGGCGAAAGTTAATCACTGCCAAAGATGATGATTAGTATTGTTTTTTGAGACAGGGTCTCACTCTGTTGCCCAAGATGGGGTAGGTACAGTGGCATGCTCACGGTTCACTGCAACCTCTACCTCCCAGGGCTCAAGCAATCCTTCCACCTCAGCCTTCTAGGTAGCCGGGACTACAGGCGTGCATCAATACACCTGGCTAATTTTTGTATTTTTTTTTGTTGAGACGGGTTTTTCCCATGTTGCCCAGGCTGATCTCGAACTCCTGGACTCAAGTGATCTGCCCACCTCGGCCTCCCAAAGTGCTGGGATTACAGGCATGAGCCGCCAGCCCTGCCCCAAAGATTTTCAATCCACAATTTAAGGTATGAGAAACAAACGAAGTGGTGTGTACACAGCAAGTACTTGTCACTGGGCAACCGAAGTTGCCACAAAGTCAAAGCAAGTCAGCACCCTCCTGAGCCAGCCTTTCTATGATTTACAGCAATAGTATCATACTCAATGCTCCCTAGTGACCCCTCCAGCTTGGTTAGAATTTCACAATAGATGTATGTCCAAATTTAAAGAAATTAAAGATGTTCCCTTTGTACAAAGAGACTAATAAAGCAAAATCTGAAAAAGGTGTTGGGGTTTTTTTTTTTTTTTTTTGGCATTGGCAAGGAACTAAAAATTCTGTTCTAAGCTTCACCTTTCATAAAGTAATCCTCACATGCTCTTTAATCCTCAATGTTGTAAAGTAAGTATTAAACCTACTTTACAGGTGAAGAACTAAGGCTCTGATACTAACTTGTTCAAAGACCTAGCCATTGAGCAGAAGCTCAAGAACTCGAATTTAAATTCCCTTTAAGTCTCTATTATGGGGTGGTGGGGATGTAGGTGGGGTTGAGGGGCGGGAGACTATTCGCACTCTGTATCAGAAGAACACGAAAGAAAAAGAGACCAAAGCTTTGAAGACTTAAATCCAACCCTATTGCGGGCACATTCCTTGTATACTGAGGGCAATAGAGCTACAGAGCATTAACAAATACCCATCTTCCCAGATTTTTTCCCCATATTTTATGAACTATATTTTTCCTGAGATGTTTATCTTTTAAGATTCTTTAAAATTAGGCCCTATTCCATAAATTCTACACTACAAAATTATGTCCTCCTGCCTACTTTTAATTGAATTTAAGTCTGCGCCTGTTGTGATGCTTCTGTGATAATCCTTTTGCTGAATGGCATAAGATCTCTACTAAGATCCATTTGGCTTAAATCTAATGAACACTAGTGAACACATCCTTAAATGACTTTCGTTTATTTCCTTTAAGTAGCACTTCCAAAATAACAAATTCAAGGCAATTCAATATTCAGCATTAGCTAGACTTACGAGCCATTACTGAAATTTCTGCTGAATTTATCAAGTTTTTTCATGGAATCTCCCAAATGCCTATACTCATGCGTAACTGTTAACATGGCATTTGGTACTAAATTCTCCCAGATAAGCTTTATTATATTATTTAAGGTATTCTTATTCCCAAGAATTACTATTTCAAAGAAAACCGAGTTGGTCACTTTAAGCAACTAGTTGAATAAATGAAAAACTGAATTCTCAGGTGCTTTGAGACTTCTCTGTTCAATTTAAAATGCTTTGGGGGAGAAGTAAAAGTGGCCTTTGAAAAAATATGCTGACACAAGACATATTGAATTTTGTAGTTAAAAAAAATTAACAAATAATGAACGTGGCATTTTATTAAATGCATCGAAAAGGGTCAGGTTATTTTTAATAGAAAATCCATAATTCTATTAAATGGCTGAGAAATTAGTCACATCAATAGACTTCTTTCATTTCTGAGCCCATCTTCAGTACTGCTAGAAGTTCTTTCGGCAATGACCACTTTGCTGTAACCTCGTTCTTAGAGAAGTAGGAACCAGATATACATTGGCTCCTACTTAGCCCAAACCTAGATATGAAGACACCTTTTACTTTACAGTGACTACTTTGTAATTGGAAGAGATCAGTGTAGGTTATGCTGATTCAATTAGGTAAAGACTCAACAACACTAGTTACATGGTACAATTCACTGTGTAAATGTCAAGAAGATTTAAAACTAACACGGAATACCAGTGAAAGACTCCCCAACATCAATCACTATTTCAAACCTAACATTCAAAATAAAGATCCAGTTGAGAATAGAAGCTGTCTGATCAAAGTTTACATTTTACAATGAGGACAGAGAGGCACCTTCATATACTTATCCAGTTCTCAATAGTTTGTGAAACATAAATATTATCCTTGCTTATGGATGAGAAAACAAGGTTCAGTGGCCAGCCCACATTTCATAGGAAAAATAGGGACTTATCCAGATTTTTCTGAATCCTATACCAATTTTGTATTTTAACACAGCTGTCTCCTCACACCCCCACTCTTCACCGCTACACCCTAGACCTAACATTCCACACACAAAGGGTCCAAGCTATCTCTACCAGCAGACAATCAAGGGCAGGTTGTGACACCTGTACTAGAAGCTTACCAATTACAGCCTGAGTGGGGTTTCCAGAATCTGGACCAAAGCAGCACGTTATCAAAAAGGGGACATGAAAAGGAATAAAGGGTAAAAAGAAAAAAACATTTCCTTTCCTGGTCTCTGGTTCTCTCCATAAGCCTGTGCAATCTATACTATCTTCATTCAATTCAGATTTAATGCACATAAAAATGTGGTGCCTAATACGTTTTCAAAATTAGTTCCCTTCATCCCACTTCTCCTTCTGCTGCTTGGCAAGAGCTCAGACAACGAGAAGGAAACAAAGGGGCTACCTTACTGGAGTCAGGTTAAGTAAAGGGTCTTAGCCAATGAGATCCACAAATGACAATGATTCTGAAACCTACTAGTCTCCTGCACAATCAGTAATATACCTACAAAGCTTTATAAATTTGGGTATTCATACATATATGATAGCAAGATTAACATTTGGACTTCTATTAAGGGGCAAAAGGGTGTATTATTCTGGTGGAGGACTAACCTTCAACAAAGAACTTTTTTTCTGTAAACTCCAACAGCCAAGAAAAGTCCTAGGCATCTATCTTTGCTAGGGTGTGCTAAGAAAAACAATATAAAGAATAATGGGACCATGTGCTGACTGGGTCGGTTTCGTTCTTAAAATATAGGAAAACGTCAGAATACCCAGGGACCTGTGAAATTTTTTTCCCAACATCATCATTTACAACAACAAATACTGGAGATCTAAAGTCCCTAAAAATGCTGATTGCTTTAACATCTTTTGTTGGAGTTTACCTAGGTGTTTCTTAGGTATGCTAATGAACTGTGTTCTTTAGGCTCCTTGAATCCACAGAAACAAAAATGTGAATTTCAAAGGCTCAGAGGGGAATTAATGACCTGGTAGAGCTGCCTCCCCACCCCAAATCTGATGGGAAGGGTAGAAGGAAAGATGGTAAATTAAAACATTTATTACACATTTCAGAAAAATTTAGCAGAGAGATAAGTGGGTGAAACTAGAAGCTTAAGACAACAAATGAAAAACGAATACCTACCAAAAGGAAATTAAGGGTCGGGCACAGTGGCTGAAGCCTGTGATCCCAGCATTTTGAGAGGCTGAGGCAGGCACGCTGCTTGGGCCCAGGGGTTCAAGACCAGCCTGGGCAACATGGCGAGAAAACTCGTCTCTACAAAAAGTGCAAAATTTAGCCCGGCATGGTAGCGTGCACCTGTAGTTCCAGCTACTTGGGAGGGTGAGGTGGGAGGATCGCTTGAGCCCAGGAGGCAGAAGTTGCAGGGAGCCGAGATCACACTACTGCACAAAGTAGTTTGTTACAGCCTGTTCTGTTTGTTACAGCCTGGGCAACAAACAGAAACCCTGTCTGCCCTCTACCCGGCTCAAAAAAAAGGAAAGAAGTTAAAATTAAAAGTTGCCTACCTCCCTTGGAATTTCCTTCTTCACTAAACATTGAGACATAAATGACACAAAGACAGTTAATACAAACTTTGATACAGATAGCCAAAGTTGATATTACGATCTATATACTCCAGAGATATGCATGAGATACCGGTAATGTCACTTCTCTCCCAGTTTGAAAAATATCTAGGATCTTTCTTATACACACAGAAAATGTTCAACAATATCTATTTACTACAAAATCATTTCAGCAAACTATCAGCCATTTCTTATAATACCACCAAAATACCATTAATATCTAATAGACATTCATCTACAAGCTTCCCCACAACCCCCAAACTTTGTCCACCCTTCCCAGGCCCTATGCTATCAACACAGCACATACTGCCCACATCTAGACACGCAGGTGGCAGGGAGGGTGGGGATTGGCAAAATGCTAATTATTCCAACCCTGGCCTCTATTTTAGATTTTCTACTGCAGCTATTGGTCTGTAGCCATGGGGATAGAAAGCTGCTGCTCAAACTTGAGATGTTTGAGACATGGAAATAGAGAGAAAAGACCTGTTTCAAATATTACTACTCAAAGTTTAAACACAATCTGAAAGCTTCCTTTAAACACGATACCCATTCGCCTCTTAAGGGCTAATTTGGAAGTCTCTAAACTCTTTACCTTAAGAAATCCATGTGTCAACTGTTTGCCTAAATGCCCTTATTATCCAAAGTTAATGGTTTCAAAATAATTAAGGGACAGTCAGATAATCTAAACCACACAACACAGAAAATTCAACTGACTCTCACCTCCACATCCAATATATTTTACTATTCTTTCAAGAGTTCTGTTTTTTTTTTAAACCTCCAGGTCCAACGTCAAAATACTCATTTCAAACATTTCCACAGCTTCATTCAAGCTAATTACATTTGAATTCATTTTCCCAAGTGAACCCAGTTTACTGGAGTTGGACGCAGTTTCCACATGGGAAAGATGCAATCCCTCACAAAACACACTTCTGAGGAAACAACTTTGGATTTGAAGAGTATCAG